ACAGATCTCTCACAACTTTTTGATTCTGTAGTGGATTACATTAAACCGGGGTGAGCTCCTGGTGGGGATTTGGATTAAACTAGGGATAGGACACAGATCTCTCACAACTTTTTGATTCTGTAGTGGATTACATTAAACCGGGGTGAGCTCCTGGTGGGGATTTGGATTAAACTAGGGATAGGACACAGATCTCTCACAACTTTTTGATTCTATAGTGGATTACATTAAACGAGGGTGAGCACCTGGTGGGGATTTGGATTAAACTAGGGATAGGACACAGATCTCTCACAACTTTTTGATTCTATAGTGGATTACATTAAACGAGGGTGGGGATTAAGACTAAATTGAAGGTAGAAAACTAACCTTACACAATTTGCTCATATTTTGTTAATTATATTGACTAGGTAATAGAAAGAAATAAACTATACAGTAATTTACCTCTAATTAACAATCAGTTAGTTTTTATTTTACTTTTATAAGGATTTCTTGTAGATGGCAGCAGGTTAGCAGCTGAAACGTATATGGAGTCGAGGTTATACATCAGGTATAACGTGGTTAACGTGTTACTATACACTTATTTATTTTCACTCACGTACAGCAAATAGAAGTCCATGCGCGTTTAGAATGTGCAAGTTTTAGCAACTTAATATTTAGGTTATCCAGTGACTGAACTCTTTCACGTTAAGTTTTCTGCAGTTTGGTTATAATTTCGTACATATCTGTCATAAGGAAATAAATGACTAATTATTTAAATATACCACCATTAGCCATAGGTGACCTATCATGAACCAGTAACGTAGCATATAAAGTAATTAGTGATTATTATCATGAACCAGTAACGTAGCATATAAAGTAATTAGTGATTATTATCATGAACCCGTAACGTAGCATATAAACTAATTAGTGATTATTATCATGAACCCGTATCGTAGCATATAAAGTAATTAGTGATTATTATCATGAACCCGTATCGTAGCATATAAAGTAATTAGTGATTATTATCATGAACCCGTATCGTAGCATATAAAGTAATTAGTTATTATTATCATGAACCCGTAACGTAGCATATAAAGTAATTAGTGATTATTATGCAAGGATAATAATAAACTTATTAGTAAATAGGCTTAGGTGATCTTATCGTCTGCTATAACCATGATAACGAATAATGTCCGATTTCCGCAAGAGAATAAACGTACTGTACCTAGTTCATAAATCGAGGTTGTCTGTCCTCCAGTGGGTCAATGCTAAAATTTGGGGTTCTGTTCCCCGTAGTGGATAGAACGCTAAAACATACAACAGTCACTGTACAGGTTTTCCTGTCACAAGTCACAGTAAAAAAACTGACAAAAAAAAACACTTTTGTTAAAATAATTGCATTTCTATGTAAATTATACAGCAGAAATTAATGGGGTTAATTGAAATATGGATGTCATTTTTCCATAAATAATAGGACCCTAGCATGGCCAGGTGTTCAGGGCGCTCCACTCGCAATCTGAGGGCCGTGGGTTCGAATCCCCGTCCCACCAAATATGCTCGCCCTTTCAGCCGTAGGGTTGTTATAATGTGACGGTCCATCCTACTATTCGTTGGTAAAAGAGTAGCCCAAGATTTGGGGGTAGATAACGATGACTAGCTGCCTTCCCTCTAGTCTCACACTGCTAAATTAGGGACGGCTAGCGCCGATAGCCCTTTGCGCAAAATTCAATGCTCTTTATAAACGCGACATTCAATCGTGTTCTCACGTGACGAGTGCTGCTGGCTGGTTGGTCTTCTCGTTAGCAGTTCAAAATTAAAGACGGCTATGCCTTATCCTCAGGATCTTTAAGGTAGCCAGGTACACCAGGACGTGGTTTTCCTTATATGGTGTGTCAAGGTCGTCGCAAGAACGAGGTTTGTGCTTAATTTCAAACAAATAAACCTTCATAAATGCTGTTAAGGTTAAAAATATAATTACAATTAACAAATATTAACTTATATAAAAAAATGTATCTGACAAAAAAACAACAACTAGTCTAACAAAATGCTGTGTATTTCGTGATAATCATACGATGAATATGTTTGTTTGTAACTAATCACAAAGCTACACAATGGGCTATCTGTGCTCTGCCCACCACGGGTATCGAAACCCGGATTCTAGCGTTGTAAGTCCGCAGACATACCGCTGTGCCACTGGGGAGCAGATGAATATGTTCAAATATAATGGAATCATACAAGGAAGCCCTCCCGTGGTGGGCAGAGCACAGATAGCCCGTTGTGTAGCTTTGTGCTTAAACTGCAAACAAAACAATCATAGAAGGAAGCAATCGATGGAGAAGATCAGTTTTGCTGCAAGTGAAGATTTTGTTTAGAATATTTTCTTTGAAATTTCCAGAAAAAAAATTCAGTGTTTTATAACATTCGGTGAAGGTACTTATTCTTCATAAAAGTTGTAAAGACAGTAGTGTATGTTTTATCAGGTCTGTTACAAACGTCGCTGGAACTATACTTCACTGGCCAGGTCCCGGATGTTACTATTGTGCCTATTGCTATCTCCTATGATCGAACCCTCGAGGAAACCTTGTATGCTTATGAACTCCTGGGAATCCCGAAACCTAAAGAATCAACTTCAGTAAGTGATTTCTGACACCAGGTGTCTTGCTTTCTGGTTACGTAGATTGAAACGAGGAAATATGTATTTCAATTTTAATATAAAGGTGGAATAGTTTAATTATTATCCAGAATTACAAATATAGAACAGAAAAAGGTTACGCTGGGAATTCGACTCTTTGTTTTACAAAAGACTCCATTAACAAAATAAAATTTCAGCTGTAAAAATGCAAAGTGGGGGAAAAAAGGGACATTTCTTCTTACAAGGAAAAGTCCAAAAAATAGTAAGGTTGTATGTATGTATGTGATTTATAAGTACTATATATTTTTTGTTTTTTGCGTTGCTGGTGGTGCAATTTTTATCAAGTTTATCATACATGGGTGACGCTAAGATTGTTTTAAGGGAAGGGGGTCGTTTTAGAAATCAATAACACGTGTAGGCCTAAGTAAGCCGTGAGTCATTAGCAGTTCAGTTCATGATCCAATGTTTGATGTGAGATTGAACAAACACAATAGCGAAAGGAAGATGTCATGAATATATAAGTATAACGCCGCGTTCGACACTTTTGCAACACTAGATTTAATTTTACGTGACTATCAAATCACACTCGATTTGACAACTTTGTTTGCTCTTTGCGTGAATGTATTGTTACGACAATGGAAGTTACGCGACGCTGGGAGCATGCGCGCTGGAGTTTCTAGAAGGATCGTGACTTATCGGCAATCTCACGAATATCCCAGTATTTGCTAGACGCCATCTTTTTTTAGTATATAAGCCGGAGATAGATTGAAGAGAAATAATTGATTGAGTCAAGCGAACAGTAGGCACCGTAAGTAAAGTGTGTGAATCGCTGTGAATTATAGCGTGCGTTTATAAAAGTAGTTAAGTTGAAGTGACTAGGGAAATTCTGTGTATTGCAAAGTTGTGTCGAGAAAGAATAAACTAGTTTTAATGAAGAAAGTACTTGTATCGCTGAAGTTTCTCGGAAAGAATTTATACCTGAAATTAAGAAACAAGCAGATACGTAACAGTAAGTAAGTGCACTTAGACTAATGATAATAATATTAAACAGTGTCATATTGTTTACTCTCTATATTATAGAATGTTTTTTCATCAGACTAATAATAATATTACACATTGTCATATTGTTTACACTCATTATTATAGAATGTTTTTCATCAGACTAATAATAATATTAAGCATTTTGATATTGTTGACACTCATTATTATAGAATGTTTTTTCATCAGACTAATAATAATATTAAACATTGTCATAGTGTTGACACTCATTATTATAGAATGTTTTTTCATCAGATTAATAATAATATTAAACATTGTCATATTGTTTACACTCATTATTATAGAATGTTTTTCATCAGATTAATAATAATATTAAACATTGTCATATTGTTTACTCTCTATATTAAAGAATGTTTTTCATCAGACTAATAATAATATTAAACATTGTCATATTGTTTACTCTCTATATTATAGAATGTTTTTCATCAGACTAATAATAATATTAAACATTTTCATAGTGTTTACTCTATTTATTATAGAACGTTTTTTCTCCGTTATTTGATATTCTGAAACATGATACTCAGTGAATACTCTACTGCAAAGATTGTAAGTTTCTTGTTTTTCAATAATAGGTTTTCTAGTGATTTGTTAGACTTAAAACGTACCAAAGCGTTAAATAAGATCTCGCGTCCTAATTGTTAGACTAATTTGGTATGTGAAGTCCATTATTAGAATAATTCCAATCCGGATGGTAATTTCTATGGAAACCAAGACCCGATGTTCAAATCTGAATGATTTTATTAATTTTTACTACTATTATTATTTTTACGACCAAAATATTTACATGTTGATTTATTATTTTTTTACGACTAAATGTTTACATGTTGATTCATTATTTTTACGACTAAATTCTTACATGTTGATTCATTATTTTTTACGAATAAATTCTTACATGTTGATTCATTATTTTTTACGACTAAATTCTTACATGTTGATTCATTATTTTTACGACTAAATTCTTACATGTTGATTCATTATTTTTACGAATAAGTTCTTACATGTTGATTCATTATTTTTACGACTAAATTCTTACATGTTGATTCATTATTTTTACGACTAAATTCTTACATGTTGATTCATTATTTTTTACGACTAAATGCTTACATGTTGATTCATTATTTTTACGATTAAATGTTTACATGTTGATACATTATTTTTACGACTAAATGCTTAAATGTTGATTCATTATTTTTACGACTAAATGTTTACATGTTGATTCATGATTTTTTTACGACTAAATGTTTACATGTTGATTCCTTATTTTTTTACGACTAAATGTTTACATGTTGATTCCTTATTTTTTTTACGACTAAATGTTTACATGTTGATTCATGATTTTTTTTTACGACTAAATGTTTACATGTTGATTCAACGTTTCTCATTACAGGGCCTGATGAAAGCTCGTAGCTTGCTCAATGACAACTTCGGCTCTGTATATTTCAATATAATAGATCCAATGTCAGTCCAAGAATTCTGTGGGAATGCTGTTGACAGGAGTCTACACAGTCTTGAACCAAGGTTAGCATAATTAACAAACTGTTATATTGACATACGATTTTACAAAACTTGTTTAAACTACAAGTCAACTTATGAGCTGATTAATCCAAACAACACTTGAATGTGTTACAATACTAGAAATGAACGACCTTAAAACACAAACAGTAACTCTGACAGCATAAAGCTTTAAATTGTTTATTGTTTAAAACATTTGAAGCTTTGAACCGTCAGCTACTCTGTGTTTTAGTGGAACGCTTCTGAAGAGACTGTAAGACGAAACGTCGAGTGTCCAGTTAAATAAAAATAACAAATTTTGTGTTTTGAGGTCGTTTATTTCTTATACTAAAATGTCAAAAAAAATTAATTAACATTTATATATATATATATATATATATATATAT